AATTCAGTCCAAGATATTTTAATAGTCTAACAGATTACACTGACCCACAGACATTTTAGAATAATCTTGTGACTTCAGGTTCTAAATTAACACTTAAGACATTCACATAATGTTTTACTTCTTTGTGAATGGTATTCTTCTCTTTGGAGTCGGCTGTAGAAAGCCTTCTTTCTTAATGGTCTGCTGTCAAGCACAGTATTCTTTCAGTGAGAAAAATACATAAGTCCAAATACTTGATAAAGATGCTTTTCCTTCAATACACCAGTCGTTAAACTATTTACCAACAACTTATGTCAGCTTTATTCAAATGATCCCATAAAAGAGGGTTTAAAAGCTCTCTTAATTTCCACAAAGTGGTATGGTTTTTATGCTCCAGTCTGAACTGTGGGCTGGCACAGCTTCATAGTGAGACTGGCAAAGAACACTCAGCCCTTTCCAATCCCTTGAAAGCAGTTAGGTTGAAATGGCTTGGTGGAAACTTCAGACATTTATTAATAAGGTTACATATTATCTGCACATAAGGGACAAACTTTACCTCAGTATCAAAAATCTCCCTTGAGTTACTAGAGAAAGACTGGGGATTGTAGAAAATAAATTACATTTCAAGGGCACATTAGTGAAGTCTCCAAGGATCCCAAGTAGAGACCCTAGAATTTCTGTGCTCCAGCCTCAACTGTAAAGCATCCAAAGACAATTCCTTAATTGTAAATACAATTCTAGCAAAATCGTGTTCTACTTGAAAAGTAAACCCAGCTTCAGAAAACACACAAATGTAAATATAGATAATACACCACTTGTCTATCAGTTACTTGTATTGTGCTGGCTTGTATATGGAAACCATGCCAACAGTATTTCACATAAAAGGAGGGGCATCAATGCTGAATCGGTCTCAACAGACCTTCTTCACCAAGTTGTTGTTGTTAGATGTTGTCCAGTTCAGTACAACTCATAGTGACCCTATAAACAACTAATCTCAACTCTTCCCTATCCTGTGCTATCCTCATCATCTCTCACACACTGAGCCCACTGCTGCAGTTACTGTATCAATCCATCTGGCTGAGGTCTTCCCCTCGTTCACCTTGCCAAGCACGATGTTCCTCTCTAAGGAACAGACTCTCCTAGCAACATGACCAATCTATGGGAGATGAAGCTTTCTTATCTTTGCTTCCAAAGAGCATTCTGGCTGCACTTTCTGTAAGACATATCTGTTCTCTTGGAAGTGCATGCGGTATTCTGTACAAAGCTCAACGGCATCATCTCCTGTCAGACTTATTCACTATCCAGCTTTCAGATGCATAGCATGTGACTAAAAAGACTGAATCAGGAGCACCTCAGTCCTCAAACTGATATCATTGTTCCTCATCCCTGATTGCAGACTCTCCCAATGCAGTATGTCTCTTGATCTCCTGACTTCTGGTTCACAAGGGTGTTGCTTGTGCATGCAAGTAAGATGAAGTCTACACTAAGAGAGATTAGGAAGAAGGTACTACCTATCTTCTAAAAAAAAACTACCCAACGAAAAATCAGGAGAACATTATCTTATTTAGTATCAAAGATGAATCAATCCTTCAGGTTGGAGGTTACTTACAACATTCCTGGAGAAGAACTGCCTGCTCAAAGTAGAATCTGCCAAAGTGACACAAAAGGAGTAAAACTTTCCCAGAACCTTCATTTGCTTAAGTTGCAAGACTCAAAATGAAGAGAAGAAAAAGCTACACATATCCTCTAATAGTCAGAGCATGAAATGTATAAAGAAAGAATTTAGGAAAACTGGAAGTTTTCAAACAATGAAATGTTGTTGTTGTTGTTGTTGTTGTTGTTGTTGTTGTTTTGTGCCATCGAATCACTTGCGACTCATAGCGATCCTATGTACAAGAGCCCTAAACGCCGTTCTATCCTCTACCAACCTCGCCGTCTCAGACACACTCATTCCCACGACTCCACTCACATAATCGATCCATCTCATCGAGAGTCTTCCTCTCCTGTGCCGTCCCTCCACTCTCCCAAACATGATGTCCCTCTCCAAGGACCAGTCCCCCCTTGCAACAAGCCCAAAGTATGTCAGACAAAGCTTCAGAATCCTTGACTCCAAGGAGCATTCTGGTTCACCCTCTCCAGGACAAACCTGTTTTTCCTCCTAGCAGTCCATGGTATATTCAACACTCTTCTCCAGCACCACAGCGCAAAGGCATCAACTCTCCGGACACTGGTGTGCTGAAATGGACTAGTAGTGGTATTCTGAATTGGACAATATGGTTTACTACGCAGAAAAACAATCCAAAATAAAGTCAAGTGGACTCGCATTTATTTGTCTGACACTTTGCTGTATTGTGCTGCTTGTGTGTTGTTGTGACGTGGAAATTATGCCAACAGTAGTTCGCATAATAGGGTCATCATGGTGACTAGGTCTCAGCAGACCTTTAAGACAGGGAGAGACTAGAAAAAAGGCACTGTGAACTTTACAAACTGGTTTAGTAAGTGATGAAAAACAGGGACTGAGTGATAAAAACAACAGTGCTGTTGCTTCTATGAGGTGTCATCACTCTGAACCATGCCCTGTCCTTCACCGTCCTCACCACCTCGGAGATGCTGCACCCCACTCTTACTATATGACCTTTATCATAACTAAGAATTAATTTCTGTATTATAAGAGTAGGTTTCCTTCATCTGACCCAGTATCAATTACTTATATTTACCATTAGCTAAAAAAGAGACTGTCAAAGAGATAAAACCAACTCACTATGGAATATAATTTGTGACTTGATATACAAAAGGGTACAGGTCTGATCATTATTGCTCACTGTTGTTGATCTTACAGTTTCAGATGAAATAATTATTGATGTTATAGCAAGGAAGACCATGTAATCAAGTCTTTTGGGTGGCAGTATTTCCTTTAATGGGTGCAGAAATCCATATAGTCTTTATTTTATAGAGTCATTAAGTATAGGAAGGATTAACTGAAATAATGAGTTAAATTTTACTAAACATTTTAGGGGAAATTTACATGCTTTTTGGTGACCACAATTTAGGGCATTCAAGAGCTCTGGAAAATGTTAAATGTTAAAAATGATCTACAGTCTCTTCTCTGGATGCTAGCATGGTAAATTAATTTTTTTAATGCATAATTTTATTTATTTGTTTTTCAGAAGTTTAAATCTGCATCGCACAGATTCTGCATCCAATGACCTTAGCAGGAGGGTTGCTCCAAAAGTTGGCCAGAATCATGCTGCCATTTCCTTGGGCACAAGTTACCTTTCCCCAGACTGCTCTGGTTTTGTTATGTCTGCCACCAGGAGTCACTGTATTCTTTTTTTGCTTTGTAAACATAAGCACATCTCTTGCTTAAATAGAATTCTGTTTCATCTCAGGCATAAACACCTTCAATTTTAAGAAGAGCTGTGTGCTCCCTCTGCTTCTGGAGATCTCATTTTACAGCTAGCAAAAGTGGCTTAGCAAAAAAAAAAAAAAAAGTGGCTTTTTACCACAGCCTCCCAGCCATCTCTGTGGTTTAGAAGTCCTGCTCCCAGGAGGCCTTCACGTGCTCCAAGATGGCAGGAAAAGGTGAAATGAATGTTTTCAAACCCTTTCTCTCCATTTTCTTGACCAATATGTGGCACTTTCTGAGACTACCTCTTTTTTCAAGTTTCTCCCAGACTAAACTGCAATTCTTTGAATTCGTGCCAAACAAGAAGAAGAAGACATCACAAGAAACTCATTTAATCCAAAAGAGTAAAAGGGGGGGAGGGGGGGCACCTCTGTCACAATCTGTGATGAAACTATAAAAAGCACAAATAGTTTTGAAAATTTCCTGGATTGTAAATAGTATGTCTAGCACCTTAAAAAAAAAAAATCAAACCTGAGATAGTAAATCAACTACAGTGCTGTAATTAATTTACCCAATCTTGGCATTGGTGGTAAGGAATACATATGCATAATATGCCTGGGTAAGAAAGGAGAAAACAGAGTCCTCCCCTAAAGCTCTTTCCATAAGTAGGGGAAATAGAATGCTATGTAGCTATAACAGGCCTGAGTTGACAAAATTGGACAAGTAAAGTTGCAAATTTATGTCAAAAATTCAGGGGTATGAGCGGGGGAGGTTCTTACAATATCTCTAGACCATCTCTCTCCTTGCTGCACAGTTTTCTGCTATTCAAAACACGATTAACCACAAGCACGCTTCTGCATAGACACAGTGGTTTCTGCCTAGGGGTGAGAATGTACCAAATTATATTTGTCATCCTGCCTCTGAGGACACTCCAACTCAGTGGAAAGATGCCTCTGGGGTTCATTACATTTGGACTTCCTTGCTCTCCTCTTTTGAGAAATGCTGTTCTTGAGAGAAGACAGCTAGAAGAGAAGAAGTTGGACAATGACCAGTATATACATGCAAATACAATATAGATAGCCTGGTGCTGGGAAACCAGGTACAGAAGGGCCCCTGATCCTTCCCAGCAAATGAGAATGACTGGAAAATATGCCTTCTCCTTGCAAGGGAAAATGGGCCTTCACATAAGATTTCTCCCCGATGTTGCTCTTCTCTGCAACATTGTGAAAGAAATAGCTGTTTCAATTTGCTATTTTGTCCTTGCAGGCTAAAGGAAACACATTTGTGGTTATCATGAAGACAGGCATAAAAAGTCCCGAGGGTAGCTACTGCTAAAAATGAGATACGTACTCTTTGACCTAATCACATTCAACTAACAATAATGTGACATAGATCCTATTCTTATTCAAGCCCCCAGTGGACAAGATCACAGAGAAGCTACAGTAAGAGCTGACTAGGACTGCAATATGGGAAAAAGCAAACAAAGCGTTCTAACTCACTACTGCATTCTTTTGGCATCCTAATTAGCAGGAGTAAGAAACATGAAAAGCCATCTCTCACATTCCATTAATATACTTTCATTTTTTTTCTTGATGAATAATGGCCTTAAAGGAATTCTCATGCTAACCATTTAATGAGTTAATGGACTTTTACAACACATGGTAGTTCTAAATACCTGTAAGTGTGGCCACGATGCCTCAAGGGTAGGTTCATCTTCTTCTGGATCAAATTCATTGCTGTCACTAGGAGGGAGAGTTCTGAATATATTGCAAGATACCTAAAAATAAACAAGCAGCAGCGTTAGCAGGAAACAATTTCCGGGCAACCTTACACAACCACTTTGTAGCCAGTTGAAGGGGACCCAGTTTATGGTGCATAAGCTAGAATCAGGATCTCTTTCTGTTGGGTTTCGGGACAAGAATAATCACATGGCAAAACCAAGTATCATATGGTAGAATTTTTTTAACTTCTCCACCAGTGTTCATCTCCTTACCTGGCACTCCCTTTCCCAGGTTGCAGTGACTTTCCAATAAAATCTGCTTTAGGTTACTTACCAGTTAAGCATGCTTCTAATTAACCAATTTACACTAATATGAATAACTGCTAATGGGCTTTATGTACGTCCCTTCTCAGATGTATCTGCCATTTGCAAATGACCTATTAAACTAATGATGGAGTTTCAGGAATTTAGTGAGTCAGAAAAGCTATTTCAGAATCTTTCTACCATGCTTAACATGATTCTTAGTTTGTCCTCAGTTGGCTTACAAAATACAACTCATGATGACTACTTGTGGTACAAATTTCCATAATTAGTCCATCCACAGATAATTTCCCAATTAAATACTAGTTATTCAAAGAAAGACCACAGTGGTTAGCTGCTGATATAGAAAATAAAAAAGCTGGGAGATTCATTTTGCTAACCTGCTATTTATCCATAGATGAAATGCTTTCTGCAGCAAAAATGCTATTGTTAATATTCCTGTTATTATTCTTTTGACTCTTTTTTCCATTTTCTATCTTTCCACCCTATTTAATTCATGCCCTGTATCCTAATACTCAAATATACTTGCAGGTTCAAAGAATAAAGCAAAATAAAAGGGAAATGTGTGTAGAAGGAAAGAAAAGAGCCGGGGACAGGATGGACAACAGAGGGAGGGCAGGATAGACTGGACCAGAAGCCCTTGGAAGACTGGCTATCTAATGCAGAAAATATAGAGCTAGAATATGCTTCCTGGAAAGAGTAAAGGAGGACAGGACTTTGAAGGTTCATGTATTTTAAATGTATTTCTCTATTCAGTAGAATATTTATTACTTTCCTATTACGTGCACACACTGTTCTAGGCACTGGGGGAAATAGTAGGGAACCAAAAACACAGATATCTCCAACTTCATAGAGCTTATATTTAAAATCACTCTTACCTCCACCAGGGAGTGCGGTAGTGATAAGGGGCTGTGCTGCGAACTCAAAGGCACATGGTTTGAATTCACCAGGAGAAAGATGGGCAATCAACTCTCATGTGATTTGATGACTGCCTCTGGAAACCTGCTGGATGGTTAGCTGTGATTCAGTTGTGACTCAACAACACAACAATAATCTCCACCAGACCTCTGTCGGTGTAGTCCGTAGGGTGCCATGCTGCTAAACCAAAGGTAGTGCCTCTTTTGCTGTTCAAATCCACCAGTGGCTCTGTATGAAAAAGATGGGCAATCTCCTCCCATTCAATTTACAGCCTCTGAAAACTCACTGGAGGACTGGCTATGGCTATGGCTGGTTCTGGCTCAGTGACAATGAATGAATTTTCTCTATAGAAAGTGTATGAACGATATATGCACATCCATGTTTATTGCAGCTTTGTTCACAATATCAAGGAGTTGGAAACAACGTAAGTGCCCATCGACAAACAAATGGATAGAGAAGCTGTGGTATATTCACACAATGGAATATCACGCTGCACTGAAAAACAAGGAACTCATGCAATGGTATTAAAAATGACCTGGGAGGACTTTATGTTAAGTGTAGTATCTCAGTCACAAAAGGATAAACACGGCATGGTGCCACTGTTGTAAAACAGGACTGACATGGGGGGGGGGGGCGGCGGCTGAGAAAGATGGGTTAAATAATGTATACTGCATTGAAACAGATGAGGGAGAAAACTGTTTAAAAGGGGATATGTGATTAGACATTTTTGTCATGATGCGAGTCCAGTGCAAAGGCTGCATGTTGGAGTGGACCTGGGGGGAGGGATTGTAAAACGATGAAAGAATTTTTCAAGAGGGGAGAGTATTGTGGGGGAGGGGTGGGTGGGGACAATGAATGAATGGAGATCCGAAGTCTGTAACTTTTCACTGAAATGAATAATAATAATAATAATAAACACTTTATAAAAAAAAAAGACAGTGTATAAGCAGATGTGAGGGCGATCTGGCTGTGACATCTGTCACCCCAGTGATCGCCAGGGTTGATTCGGCTCATCTGGTTGGCTAGGCGGGTGTCCCCTTCCTCCCTCACCGATGCATGTGCGTCCTTCCCGAAGCTGTGCACTCAGCTGAAGAGGACGACAATCCCCGATAGAAAGAAGACCATAGGAAGACCGTCCTTCAGTCAAGGGTATACAAGCTTCCCTGCTAGAACCTCCAAACACATTCTCAAGGTCCATTTGTAGGAGAACGTAGGGTAGTCAAGCTTCCAAGACTCCAGACACATGCAAATGAGGTACTGCATGTGGGAGTCGACCTTTCTTTTGACCCCTCTTTCATCAAAAAAAGAAAATAAAGTGTATGAGCCTGAGCCATGATTCCCAGTTACCACGTGAAGCAAGACCAGACCTCAGAAATACTCTTTTACACTGATTGAAAGTCTTCTGTTGGGCCTCTCAGGGCTCTAGCCCTGCCCTCTTCCTATACTTTCTCCACATGTCCACTGCCATTGTGACCTCTAACAAGTAAATCTGAGCATCAGGATACCTGAACTACTTCTCCCAGTGTAGACCACAGAGTTCTCTGCCTTGAGTGGCATGACTACTGGTTAAGAGTAGTATCACAAGACTTACTAGAATAGACAACCTGCTCCTGCATCTCCTCTTCAGTAGTCTATATTTGCAGCAAAAGTCAGAAAACTATTGGTCTTAGTTCTGAACAACACTTGGAAAAACACTAACCATAGAGCATGTCCAACTCCCTTAACCATGTGCCCAGGCCTATCTCTTCAGTTGGTTCCCTGCTGCACTCTCTCCTCTTATAAATTGCCAGTGATCCCTTTAATAGTACTCTCTGTATTCTAGAGCATGCTCAGGTTCACTCCTCCATGTCTGTGTACACTCTGTTCCTTCAGGTGGAAGTTGTTTCCACATCTCTCCCAGAATCTACTTAACTTCCCAGGCTTGATTCAAAGGCTATCATCTCACTGGAGCCTCCCCGACTACTGCTTTATGCTTTTTATGCTACCAGTTTACCCAGAAGCCTTTTGTCAGTCTTATCATTTAAGATCTTACTTGTATCCTCACTACCCAGCCAACTGGTTTATTCATTCATTCAACATTTATGAGATATTTCAACATCATAGGAATTAAAAAGAAAAAGGAGCCCAGTAGTTAGAATCAGGAAGAAGAAGAAGAAGAAGAAGAAGAAGAAAAGAAAGGTCAAGATAACAAAGTAAAAAGGAGCAAGGAGCTACAAAGAAAAGAAATGCGCTACAGGCTGGAGTTCCTAGAATTAAGAGCAGACAATGTTTTTAAAATAACAAAGAGAGATTTACTAAGATGAGCACTGACTGGAGTATACTGCATCTATCAACAAAAATGGCTATAGAGATCTAACAAGAATTAGAACAAGAAAGTCAGACAGAAGATGGAAGAAATAGTAAATACTAGAATAAGTGAAGAAGTATAGATACCCTGGAAAGGATTACAAAACAGACCCTGTGACATTCAGATAAACAAAGCTTTGACACAGCATTGCATATGACAGGCTCTTAATAAAAAGGCCATTAATCAGTGAATGGACCACTTCTCCCATCCATGAACCTTTATATAATAGGCATTCAATATAAAACTTGAGAAGTTAGTTATTATTTGGGAAACTCTCCCCAAATGTTAGAAAAATGGAAATAACTTCTATGCCCAACTTCTGAGGGTACAGCAGTAGTGCAGCATTAAAAGAGGCGGATATATGGAAGCAAAAAAAAAAAAATATAAATAATAGTAATAATGTGTGATTCTAACTATAAAGATAAGAATACACACAAATAACTAAATGGAAATAAAAGCTTTATTACAGTGGATAACTATTTTTAAGGTGAAAAGAATTAAACTACACTAGGCAGGAGCTTTTATTCATTTCTGAATATGCCAGGTAAGTCTAAAAACGTAGGCAGTAAGTGAGTTAGGATCTTCATTTCAAAATTAAAATGGGCTTTTGAACAAGAGTACTGCTGTCAGGAGAATTAAAAAGCAAAGTCTCACAAAATTTCTTTAAGAGTCTAGTTCATGAATGAATGAAAGATTGAATAAATGGACCACTGCTTAACTGTACAGTAAAGCTCTAAAATTATGAATTTAAAATCAAATCATACATGGATAAATTCTCCTGATGTATCTGCAGTATTTCTATATATGCCAAGTATAATTTGGGTCACTGTTTTCAACAGTCTCAAGACTTCCAAGCCCTAAAAATGGCTAACAGCCACAATAATAAATAGTAAATTTGCTTCCATTAAACTGTCCTTTATCTTTTGCAGCCACTTGTGATTTACAGTCCAGGGTTAAATGGACTATTAAACAGGTAATAGCAGTGTCATTTGAATACAAATGTATTACAATCATGACGAACAACCAGTATCATTCTTTATCATACATCAGAACTTTGTATAGTCTGCATGGCCATCTTAAAATGAAGTCAGATATTTTTAAAATGTCTTCATAATATATTTAAATATTCGGGAAACTAGCCAAAAACTTTTACTCACTCAGGAATGCATTAACAAAATGAACAAAAGAAAGTTTGAAAGTATACTAGAAGGATTTCTTTATCGAGCTTCTTGTGTTTTGTTTTTAAGTCTAGACTAGTATCTTTGGAGAAAGACATTACGCTGAAAAAGATGATTGTTGCTGTTGTTGACAATTCATAGGGACCCTATGAATGAATGTGTGACTTTCTCCTTTCTCCGGGAAGCAACAGGAAAAAGGTGGTTGTTGTTGTTATGTGCCATCGAGTCGTTTCCGACTCATAG